TTTCAGACATACACACAAAGACAGGGACGGAGAGACAGAGACAGACAGACAGACAGACAGACAGACAGACAGACAGACAGACAGACAGACAGACAGACAGACAGACAGACAGACAGACAGCCAGGACGGGGGGGGGGATAGGGGCAGGGAAAGAATGAAGGAAGAGAAGAGATAAAGAGAATGATTGAGGACTGATTGTGGGTGGTTATCGAGCGCTCTGATATAAGGTTTGCTCCTCTCAATATCAAATATCTATCACATCACCATCCTTCCCCCAAGTTTTCCATGAAAGTCACTCTTAGTAGCACCTCTAATCTTCGGCACTTATAATTATGACTTGTGTTAAACGTGCCTCTTACTAAAACGAAAAACTAAAATGAGGCTCCACACAACACACTTGTAAAATGTGAAACAGCTTGAGAGCTGAAGTGGTGTGCTGTTTACTAAGGGTTAAGCTAGACTGTTCCTTGTTCGAATCAAAGCCTTCGAGGCTGTGTAACTGACGTCATAATATACAGGCAAGCACTTGTTTGTTTTTGCTGGCACGACACAGCAAACATGGCTGCCAATATGGCGGCAGATCACTTCCGATAGTCTGTCTGCTGGTTCCGCGGAAGTTCATAAACCCTGCAGGTGTTGCCACAGGAGGGAGGCAGTGTGACCTGTTGTTAGAGTGGTTTGAACTTCAGAACAACAGTAACAACAACAGCAGCAATAGCAGCAACAAGAATAACATAACAACAACAACAACAACAACAACAACAACAACAACAACAACAACAGCAACAACAGCAACAACAACAACAACAATAAAAACATGAAACCTGCAGTTGCTACAGGAAGAAGCAATAATATGACCTGTGTTAAAGAGGCAGAAACTTCAAAACAACCACTGATACAGCAACAACAACGACAACAACGACGACCTCAGCAACAGCACCAGCAACAACAACAACAACAACAACAACAACAACAACAACAACAACTACTACAACAACAACAAAATAAAAACCTGCAGCTACAGCAGGACGAAGGTATAGTGTGACCTATGTCAGAGCGGCAGGCAAGAACTGACACCAAGGTACATGAACGTACAACATACATAGAAGGGGAAACCACTCAACTCACTGAGAGGTCCAAACTTTGTGTTTTTTGGCAGACATTGAACTGTTTGTTTGGGCATGGGAGCTCGGAGAGGAACTGGAGAGAGAGAGAGAGAGAGAGAGAGAGAGAGAGAGA